CCCCCAAACTTCCTGACCCCCCCCCTGAGGCCGGAATTCCTCCCCACCCGGACGCCTGGATCCCTCGGGAGTGATGAGGGGGGGGGAAATGGGGGGGAAGGGCCTTGCACGGCCCTTGCACGACGTTGCACGGCCCTTGCACGGTGTTACATAGCCCTTGCACGGGGCTACACACCCCTTGCACGGCCCTTGCAAGGCATCACGCACCCTTGCACGGGGTTGCACAAGGTTGCACACCCCGGCACAGCCCTTGCACGGCCCTTGCACGGTGTTACACAGCCCTTGCACGGGGTTGCACGAGGTTGCACACCCTGGCGCAGCCCTTGCTCTTGCACGGCCCTTGCGGGGTGTTACACGGCCTTTGCACGGCATCACGCACCCTCGCACGGGGTTGCACGAGGTTGCACACCCTGGCGCAGCCCTTGCATGGTGTTACACAGCCCTTGCACGGCGTTGCACACCCCTGCTGAAGGTTGCACACCCCGGCATGGCCCTTGCACAGTGTTACACAGCTCTTGCACGAGGTTGCACATCCCGGCGCGGCCCTTGCACGGCCCTTGCACGGTGTTACACGGCCCTTGCAAGGCATCACGCACCCTCGCACGAGGTTGCACACCCTGGCATGGCCCTTACACGACGTTGCAAGGCCCTTGCACGGTGTTACACAGCCCTTGCACGGGGTTGCACACCCCGGCACAGCCCTTGCACAGTGTTACACGGCCCTTACACGGCATCACGCACCCTCGCACGGGGTTGCATGGGGTTGCACACCCCGGCAGGGCCTCGCACGACGTCACACGCACCCTCGCACAGCGTTGCACACCCCTGCTGAAGGTTGCACACCCCGGCACGGCCTCACACGCCCACGTGCAAGGTCACACGCCCCGGCAGGGCCTCGCACGACGTCACACGCACCCTCGCACAGCGTTGCACACCCCTGCTGAAGGTTGCACACCCCGGCACGGCCTCGCACGGCCCTTGCACGCCCACGTGCAAGGTCACACGCCCCTGCAGGGCCTCGCACGGCCCTTACACGCCCACGTGCAGGGTCACACGGCCTCGCACGACGTCGCACGGCCCTTGCACGGTGGTGGGGGGGGGGCCCTTGCACGGAGTTGCACACCCCTGCTGAAGGTTGCACACCCCGGCACGGCCTCGCACGGCCCTCGCACGGTGTTACACAACCCTTGCACGGGGTTGCATGGTGTTGCACACCCCGGCAGGGCCTCGCACGGCCCTTGCACGCCCACGTGCAAGGTCACACGCCCCTGCAGGGCCTCGCACGGCCCTTACACGCCCACGTGCAGGGTCACACGGCCTCGCACGACGTCGCACGGCCCTTGCACGGTGGTGGTGGGGGG